CTTAGATGTAGTAAGGTTGGCAGCAAGTGCGGTTGGTGATAACCGTCAAAAGTTGGCAATGACCCCCCTCCCATCCTCAAAAACCAAAACAAAGCACCGCCATTTTTGGGTCCTAAGCCTCTCCATGGGACCCAGTGGCCATACTCTCTTAATATAGGTACTCTACTGCGGCCCGAGAAAATTCAGGAGGTAGCGGTCAGTGAGGAATGTCAACACACACCAAAGTAACACGAGAAAGTAAAAACTCTGCGGTAGAGGTATTGATTTCTTCCAGAGCAGCAATGCGCCAGGGTCGGCAATATGGGGAATTAAACACTTCGTATATTAACAGAAATGGAATGAGTGATATGTAATTTAGAAGTAAAAAGTGGAGGAGCCGAGGGGGGGAAGGGAAGAATTTTCAAATATAGTAATATTTTAACATTTGTGGGAATTTTTTTACTATTGGACCCACGCTCCAACCCCTCTCCCAGTCCAGGAGAAATTTTTGACCGTTGATATACATCTCCCCATTGAAAATTTCTGGTTACGCCATAGGAAGGGAGGACAGACTGATTGTGAGACTACTCTCGCTTCCTCTATGATCTATTCATGCTTAAAAAAAATAAAATTAAATGAAAGCGTAATTACACACCTAATGTAAGTATCAAAGGGACGGACGAATGGAGAAGAGATTGAGGTTGATTCTTCAGTTCTTTACCTGAAACAAGAAAAGGTAAACACAAATTATAAAATAACAATCCTTGAAAAATCGAAATAAACGGTCTAATCTATTACGGATTGAAAATTAAAATTATAGGAAAGGAACTTTCAAAACAAATCAAATCCAGCTACACGATTACAGATTGTATTAAAGATTTGATTGGTCGAAACTAACGCTGTCCCTGGTAAAAATTGGCAGTAGAATCTGTGTTCCAAAATACCATAGACCTACAGCCGGCTGTAAGATTTCCAATAGCTTCTATAGCCGACTACACAATTTCTAATGGCCTTTTATAGTCGATGGCGATCAAGCAAGTGTATGCTAAACGTTACTAATTACGGATGCTAGGACTTGGTGAGTTTTTGGACTACCGCTCTCTTTTTGGACCGTAGTATCTTGATTTATTTTGCGAGGAAAGCTCCGTACTTTTGATGGATGCCTACCATTCCTAATATATTAAAGCGCCTTCAGTTTCGTATGATACTGTGCAATACCTCTGGTGTGAAATAGTTGCTTCAAGCGCCCGCCGTGGCACGCTGCCGCGCGGCAGGCGGGCAGCCAGCGCGAAACGCGCACTGGCGCCTACAAACCTAACTGGGATACTTCACGCGTTGCGCAATGCGTGAAGTATCCCTGTTAGGTTTGTAGGCGCCAGTGCTTCGCCGCTCCGCTTTGTGTTAGGCTCCAATATTTAATCTGGCGGAGTCAACGTTATTCAACTCATGATTTTGAAATGTTTGCATATCCTGTATGGAGTATTCTCATTTTAATTGATGAAAAAAAAAATTGTATTAAAGGAAAATATAATGTAGGTTTTGTAAATATTAAGGTGGTTCCGTATCAAACTTAATGATTTCCAATAAAGCACACGAATTTCTACACAATTGCTTATATCCTTTTATAGCCGATGGCGAAAAAGCAACAGCCAGGCGATAAAATGTAAAGCCCGGCGATAGGAACTACCTATAGCCCGGCTGTATAATTTTTTATTGCCTCGTATAGCCCGGCCGTATGATTTCCTCCGCATTCTACAGCCAGCTATATGATTTTCTGTAGCCTTCTTTAGCCGGCGATAAGAATTCCTATGGTATTTTGAAACGCAGCTCTAATCGCCAATTTTCACCAGGGTGTACAGTGTGTACACGTTTGTACACCGATACATGGAGTACAGAAGGGCCCCAGGATCTTTCAAAATCAAGTTTAGGATTCCCTGCCGGTTAAGGGTAGTTAAGTTCAGGATTGGACGTTATGGTTGGAGATGTTCACATGTGGTGCTATGGTATCGTTTTTTAAGCGGGGCGATTAAAAAAACGCAAATTTCTTACAGAAATTGTAAAACTTAAAAGTGCATTTCAAGACTTTTCCGAAGCGCTCATCGTGGTTTTTGACCCATTTCCTGTGTGCTATAATTCTTCTTTTTCCTCTAGCTGAAGTTTGCAACAGGCCCATTCGGATTCCTTGGGATCGATTCCCGCGGTCTCCGACTTCATCCAACCGGTAATAATCGAGAGACAAATTTGGTGGGGGTGGTCTAAATCACCCTGTATGACTATAATTTGCGAGTGGAAATTTTGTAACGTTGGAATCAAGTTAAGTTCTTTCGCCTGCGTGGGAAATGACGCGACGGTTTTCGGATAGATTCCTGGTATTCTACACTAGGCCTCGTCTCCACGAGCCGTTTCACGAGATTTGTCCCAGGGAAAAATCCCTTTTACGAAGTTGGGAAAAATATTGAGTTAATCAATATTTTTCCCAGTACCAAATATGGTACTTGTACCCCTAGGACCCACTGAGAGAAGAAGAAGAAGTGAAAACGAACAGTGCGATATTTTATTCATTACTACATTGTTAATGTATGTTTAGTTAAAATAATGTGTCTAATTGTCAATTGAGTGCAATTATTATTTTAATCCCGGTTAAATACTCGACTTTAACCAATTTATCTTCCCGCGAAAACTAGTCGCAGGACTGTATGAGCCCCGTCCCGCGGAGACGGTACACGGAGAAAAAAAACTCGTGCGTGGGACCCGAAGTTTAGGTCATATGGATCTCTGAAGTTTTCAGATTGAGCATCTGAACACTTTAGGTGTAGCTGCCGAAGTTCGGATCATACATCCGAAACTTCAGTTCTTACATCTGAAGTACTTCAGATGTGAGAACCGAAGTACTTCGGATGTGAGAACCGAAGTACTTCAGATGTAAGAACTGAAGTTTCAGATGTATGATCCGAACTTCGGCAGCTAGACCTAAAGTGTTCAGATGCTCAATCTGAAAACTTCAGAGATCCATATGACCTAAACTTCGGGTCCCACGCACGAGTTTTTTTTCTCCGTGTAACTGGGAAAAATCCCAGAAGTTTCATTCCTGCGATTCAAACTTGGGACAAATCCCATGAGAACGTCCCGTGGAGACAAGGCCTTACGAGCCGCGCAGCGCGGGTGTTTATTAAAGGAAAGTGTTTAGATTAACGCGAAGGGGAGGTGCGCGGGTAGTCAGACTCGTTTGGTCAGCTCTCAGCTGCTAAAACATTCGGTTTGTCCTGTCGTTGACGTCGCGTGGCGTCGCGTCGGTCGTCCCGATTCGACAGTCCGTAGCTCACGCTATGCACACGTCGACGTCGTCCGATCCTCTAAAACCGTGCCAAGACAACCAGTTTCCATGAGGAGTTGTATACGTTTATGATTTACTCATTACGCGACAGGGCACGTCTTTACTAGTGGAGCAAGTTGCGTCCAGCAATACCACTTCTTCCGTCTAGCCTCCAAAATAAGCGGACGGATTTTCATCAGACATGGCAACAACGCTAAGTGTCGGGCATGACAAATTATTCGTTAATTGACTGAATTTTTTTATTCATTCTTTTTCTGGCTCGTTTGCTTTCTGCTTTCTACCCCCCTCCCCTTCTTTCGCTGGCACGCGTTGATAAAGTTCACACAAGCTTTTTTCAATCTCCCTGTATCCTGTATAATATGCGGCGGCAAAGGCCCGCGCAAGTCATACGGAGGCGTGACTGGTGTCATGAAGAAATAAAGGATAGAAGAGAATTTGCAGGTGTCTGAAATTTGATAAATTTCGTGTTTAAGAGGAAACTATAACTGAGTGAACTAAACACGAGGATGCGACACCCTTAGTTCATGAATTGAACAATTATTGGAGAAGATATGACTTAATGATCTAATCTGCTAAAATACGTGTGTTTAAATGGGAAATGCCGCCAGATGACGTCACTAGGTGGTGCATTTTCTCACTTTTAAATCTATTTGTATACTATTTTCCATATCAGAGAAAAATATTATAAAAAATGCTGTGAAATCAGCTATTTAAGCACTTTTAGATGAAGCAATAACAATTTTGCATGGAAATTCTCCATTGTGTATACTACTGCACTGAAAGGGAATGTCGTGTGAGTCCTTGAATGCTGCCGAAGTCTCCGAATTTTTCAGGAAACCCCCCCTCCCATCCTGTACACAAGAAAAAGGTGCATTAATAACTGAAAAGTACACTAAATCGTCCTTTTGATCGCACGGATAAATTAGAAAAAATTCTGAGGCGCGAAGCGCTTCGAGGGGTTCGACCGCGAAGCGTTCAGTGGGCGTAGCCCCCTAGTGTTCACGTGAAAGTCATAAATAATGCAAAGACTCACTGGTGGTATCAGTGATTTGACGAGGACACTCTAATGATTAGTACAACAGTGCGGAAAAATGTGGAAACGTCCCGAACAGTTTGAAGCGCGGCGCGGGTCAAATAGAAGTTATGAATAGTCTACAGCTTGAGCGTAGTAATGAGCGTTTCAAAAGCTAGTGGCTAGCCCTCGGTTTTCAGAGAGACTCTGAATTTCTCATCCATTTTTTTTTTATAATAAATTTTTACCTTAAGGTTTTTGATCGCAGAAACGCCCCCTCCTTCCCTACCCAAGAGAAATTTCGCGGTACATACTGCCGTGCTAAGGAAAAACGCCGTATGAACATTCAAGAGTTGCCAAATTTCCTTCGATAAAATGTTTATTTTAGAGGATATTTATGAATATTTTTCTCTCAGATTTTCAGAATCGTTAGGTAAAATTGTGAACTGAATAACCTGAAAAATTGAGAGGAAAATATTCATAAATTTACCAGGAAATTCCAATTTTATGAGAGGAGATTTGGCAACGCCTGAAGGTTCATACGGCGTTTTTCCTTAGCACGGCAGCATACGCCACTGGACTGGACTGAATTGCGAAGATTGCGACGAACTTCGCGCAGAGCCAGTTTTGTGTCGTATGCATGTGAGCTTACTCCAAGAGTAATGATAAACCTGTGTGGTGTTGGAGATTTTTAATTGATTTGTTTTTGGGTGGAAAAATCGATATTTTAACCGAAAAAATCGATTAAATCGCATGGATTTTGTTGAGCTCGATAAATCGTGTAAATCGATTTTTCCCTCAAAATCGAAAACCCCGATTTTCGTTACCTTAATCCAAGTATCAGATCGGCACGCGAGTTGAATTTCGGACCAACATTTTGGCAAACTTTTCGGAAGTTTCCATTTGAATTTTTTTTTTAAGATTTGAGCGTTCGTAATTTCTGATTTTTTAAATCGATTTGCCGGAGAACCGATTTTCGTCACGATTTAAATAGACGGAATTGGATTCTTGAAGAAAATCGAATCGATTCGATGGATCGATTTTTTCAAAAAAATTACCAATACTTCAGTGTGACTTTCAACGGGTGATAGTTGATGCTGCGGCTTAGAATTTCGGAGGATCGGGTGAGATGAATTATTGCACGCGGTTTCTCAAGGACGCATTTGAACGGACCACCGACTGCGCGACAAGCCGGACCGAACCCGGAAAACGAGAGTGGATTGTAGAGGAGGAATGAACTTGGTTCGCGAATGACGTTCGTGGCACGTTCTCTCGCCCTCCCGCGCCTCCGACAGCAGTAGATCCGTTGTTCATTTACCTCACTTTTTCTCGAGTACCATACGCTAAGTTCCGCATTTTTTCGTCGACTTGGGCC